GAATTCCCATGGTTTAATGGCTTTACCCTTGTAGAGTGGTTGCTGTTGAACTAAAAAAAAAAAAATCTGCAGTGATTGAACAATGCTTTTGAGATCTGGAGTTGCTCATCTAAATACTTTTTTTTTTTTTTTTTCCGGTACCAGATAATGTACGAAGTATCCTGGAATGCATTGTACCAGGTAAGAACAATGCTGAACTTCTAATGTGTCTTTTTCTCTGGTTAGCTATGATGAAACAATTCCAAAACATTCGCAGTTTCCACCAAAGGGACGACAGTCTCAATGCTGGCATAACACTTCCTTGGATGTCTGAGCTGACCAAACCTATAGTCCATCTTTGAATAAGTTTGCTTTGAACAAATTAAGCTACATATTAAGATTTGTTGAATAATTTACTAAATACAATTGTATTTGCAGTATGGTTGGCTGTGCATGGAATGAGAACCAAAGTTACTGATGTGGTAAGTTAAACTTTTGAAAACTTGAGCAATTAACTGATGGAATATCTCTAAATGACATGACAGTATGTATTGCAGTGCTTGTAATGATGATTTTTAATCTTTTTTCCCCATCTTATCTATAAATGACGATATAAACTGTCATGTTTTCATGACAAGCCAAACCAAATCTGAACACTGCAATGCATTGTGGTCTATTTTAATATTTTGTATGTAGTGCCCCAATTCTCATCTTGCTGCATTATCTTGTTCGATAGACAGTCTACATTGAAGATGGTAAACAGGACATATTCAAAGACTTCTTGGAGAATGGTAAGTGTATAACTTAACATTCACTGGCTTATATTTAAGGAATAATGGCAATCCATAGTTCTGACGCACATTATAAAATCTAGTGAAGCAAATTCAATACATAATCTGACCAGGGTTCTCCACGAGGGGTTTTTACAGGGCGCCGCGCCCTGTTATCTGAAATTGGCGCCCTGTTTAAATTGTCAGCGCCCTGTTATATTTCCTGTGCGCCCTGCATGGTCCCAGACAAAGAATTGTTTACAAAACGGGCCAACACTCATTGTCTTCCGAAGATGATTCATCGTGCTCAGGGTAACTGGTTCATTGTTTTAAGGTGCAACTGAAAATTACGGTTTGTTATTGTAGCAGGTCACCGTGAGGTGATAACACCACCAAACAAAAAGTTACAAGTTTTTTCAACACGATTAAAAATGAACATGTGGCCTAGAAAAGTGCATTACCGTACCCATATTTTTACTGCCAGGGTGACGTCAAATATATAAAATCGTTATCGGTAAAACCATTCGCTAA